GGGGGGGGGGGGGGGTCTCTCGCGCGATCGCGCTCAGCCCCGGCAAAAAGCCCTGCGTGCCTACACTTTACCGTAATTAAAACTGACAACCGGCGACACGGCGCGTTTCTTACCGTTTATTTCTCCCCTCGGACGCGCGCCGGAGTCCACTCCGAGAGAGAAAAGGAGTCGGAGCTCGTTGTCATCCATCGTCTCTTCCTGCCCGCGCAGTCCCGGTCAGCTAATCGGCGACAAAGCGGCAGCTTCGCCAACTACGGGGTACAGTTAGACATCCGTAGATCCGGCCAGCTGAGCGAGCCACGAAGATAAGAAGAGGAGAGGGAGGAGGTAGCGACGAGGAAGAACACGAAGCTCGAAGGGAGCACGAAGGCCGAGGCGGTGCCGAGAGGAAAAGGTAGCGGGAAGAGGAGTGGCGGTGTACGAAAGAGAATACGGTATATGTGCACGTGACAGAGAGAAACGCGGAGAGGAGCATTTATTCGAGACAGCGAGAGTGAGAGAGACGGAGAAGACCGTTGGCCCTTCCACGAGAGGAGTCGCATAAATGGACGAACACACGGGAACACGGAGGCGTGTGAATCGTGAGCGTGTAGCTCATGTTCAAGTAAGTGGATAGTTAACGTTAATGTTGCTGCGAGGGGTCTCCCCTTTAATCGAGACACAAAAGAGACGCGCGCATATCCCACACTCGGCTGCAATTAAAGCGGCCGAGAGTGCGCTTTTCCCTTTCACCCGGTTACCGTTTCAGGACGCCCCCCGTCTCGTAGGAGGGCTCTGTGTTGCATGAGCGCGCGAGACGTCGATGCTGGGATGTCGACGTCGCGAAAAACGTGAAAAAAGGAAACGGAGGCCGATCTCGAGGCGAGCGATGAAGTAACTTCCTCGTTTCGCCGGTTCGGAGAGATATTACACGCACTTTGATTCTTCTTCGATAGATCGATATCGCGCTTCGAGTTCATTAGCGAGGGATAACCGGCTGTGCCGGAATGCCGAATGCTCGGGCATTATTATTCGTTCGACGCTAACAGTTACGTCCAGCGGCGTTATCGAGGAAAATTTTCATCCGCGCGTGTCGTTTGTCCTACGGCGCGCCCAAAACTTGCTTCCTCACCGGACAACCTTATCATACCGCGGATAGTCGCTCCTCTTAAAATAAATACCGTCCATTTAACAGCGGCGTTACGATCGCATTTACGCGCCCGCCATTATTCGCACGCGTCGTGTTTCGCGTTAACGTTCGCGGGGTTAATCGCACGTCGTCGTCGTGCACTTTTCCTTCGATTCTCCGCCAGCATTTCCCGCCGCCTGTGCGGCGACAACTGCGCCTTCCACGGGAATACAGTTAGATATCGGCGGATCCGGCCAGCTGAGCCCCGGCGGAAAGGGGGAGAAAGGGACGAGGAGATCGTGGCGGAAAGAGAGGAAGGCGGAATCACGGTGGGGAAGGAATGGGCTTCTCCAGCGGAGCGAGGACCACGAGAAGCACGTAAATAGATGCACGGGCAGAAGATGCGGGGGCGTGCGAACCGAGCTTAAGAGCTCTACGTAGTGGGTGGGTGTGTCCCCCGGCTTCCGCATACTCCTCCGCGGTCACCGGGTGTTATCTTCCGCGAGTCCGCCGGGGTCGCGTGTATGCGCAACCGTGTGTGCAGCACGCGCTCGCGTTTCTGACGCGTGCGTGCGCGCTCTCGAAGCGCGAGACACGGAGCCTCGCGACAGAAGACCGCGCTGAACACATTTCAAGATGGGGATCTACGCGCATTGTTTCGTTTATTAAACGGGATCTCCCCCGCTGAACGGGCAACAGTGGCTTTCAACCCGCGTCAAAAGCGACATCAAGCTCCGAGACCTTCCCTCTTCGCGATATAACCGCGTGGAAAATCTCTCCGGCGCTTAAACGGGATACCGGTCCGATTTCCCGGAATAACGACGGATTCCAGTTGGAAAAAATCCCTACGTAGGTTCTGCTTGAGAGTGTGACGTCTCAGACGTATGAAATGGGAAGCGCAAGCGGATCTCCCACACGGAGGAAGATATTATTGTACCGCGAAGAGAAGCAATTATTACAGTTCATTTTTCGTCTTTTAAAGAAACAATGGTTACTTTTAACAGAGAATATTTCTTTTTTATAATGGTGTTAAAATATACCCATCGGGAATATTAGAGAAGCTCATTGATACAAACTCGAAGAAAAGTCAAATTTGGTTAATTGGTATACGTAAAGCGAAATTTTCGTTTGAGCGTTTTAATTTAGTATCCTTGATCGAGGTATCAAACTTACTGAGTAATTTAAAATGTGTTTCGAACGAATCGCACAGTTACGCATAGTTTCCCTTCCCATCTCGAGGGAAAAGGTGCATTCCGAAACTCACCGGGAAGCGTCAGGCCGCATGTGAGAACGTGTTCCGGCAAGTCGTGGATAGACCTCGGCGATGCTACCTCGTCGACTCGCTTTTTGGTGCCTGGAACAGAAGTGCAAGGATTATGTGTCTTAGTGTGTCACGATAACATCACAATGCCGGAATTGACGATTTAACCTCGACAGATTAACCACCGAGCGTGAGCGCGTCCGACGCATTCAATTTCTTCGATTAAACGGACACGCGAGTGGTACCGCGCGCTGACAAACGGAGAAATACACGTGTGAACCCCCGTCCGCGGCGAGACTACTCGCGCTTCGCCCGGCTGTTGAGTACGTTTCCACGATTAATACCTGCTTTACGAGATACAAAGATCAATCGCGCGCGCGCTCTCGCTACCGAAACCGAGCCTGCTTATCGATCAATCGCACGCTGAAAGCACGCGCGAGCGCATCGATGGCCGGCAGACGCGAGCACGTACGCACGTGCGTGCACGTACGCAGAAACGAGCCGCGGATTATTCCGCCGCGAGCTTGACCTTCGGTTGAAAGGCCCCCTCTAATTCCACCTTTTAACCCCTCGGCACCTTCTCTCTTCTCGCCGGGGACCGGCGAGAAGGTGAGCGGCGGAACGTGCGCGCGTATTCTCCTCTGCTCGAGCGCGCATGCATCTCGAGACGGAGCACTTTCTACCGCTCGAGCAACACGTCGAATAATATGTATCTCACGTCGGTATTTTAAATAGCGTTACTACCGCGAGTAGCCGACGCGCTTGCTCGCTCGCTCGCGTGCGTGCGAATACCGGACGTCTCATTCATGACGGCGCAGAAATAATCGAAAGTAAGCGGGCGCGAGCGGCCTCCAGTCAAAGAGCGCATTCACTTATGCAGAACCGCGCGGCGATCTCGCGGAAAATGTAATCGAGCGTAAATCATCGCGTCGATTTGCTTTTCCTCTGTATCCCGCTCTCCCGATCTTTTCCCGTCTCTCTCTCTCTCCATCCTCCCATTCTGCCTCACCGTTTCTCGGGGTAATCACACCTCGATGCAACGAATGCTGATTGCCAGTGGCGCATTATTAACACGAGCGGGGCTTCAAGCGCGGCTCTCCTCTCGAAACGCGCGGGGAAAAAGTATCTATCGTTTACACCCGTGGACGTTTAGTGCCGGTCGTTAAACCGGTTACCGCGGTAAGTTTTCCCGCGAGTGTCCGGCTGTTGCGCGACGCGCCGGGGCATATTGGGAAGTCTCTCTCTCTCTCGCGGTGCTCTCCTCGCCGCTAATCACCGGCCACGCGACGCGCGCACTGTGTATCCAATTAGCGGCCGCTATTTGCACACGGACGCTTATTAAGCGATTATAAGACGTTTCACCGGGGACGCTAATTGCGGGTTCGCGCGGCCTCGCGACGGCTCAACCTTATCGCGCGTCGCCGCTCTTGTTAGGTAAATTGATCCGCTGCGCGCGCGCGAAATCGGGACGCCTGCTTTCCGCGATCGTGCTGCGTCGCGCACTACGTTGATTTTACCGGCGCACGGCATACGGTAAGAGCCGCGCGTGCTCGCGCTTGTGGCTATTAAACGAACGCGAAGATACGATCAATTAGCGCTCTCGGCCGCGTGTTCTTTCGCGCGCCTTCCGCGGAAGCCGCGAAACGCACGCGTGACTAGTTTGCGCGAGCCGTGTGACGGACGAGATCTGAATTCGCCGGCGGGCCAAAAGTAACGCGATCGCAGGAAAATTTCTCGCGATATAAATCCCGCGATCGTGTGTGCATGTGTGTGTGTGAAATTAATTGACGCGCCGCCGCGCGCGAGAGAGAGAGAGAGAGAGAAATCTCGTTACTCGCGGCGCAGCGTTACAAAACATTTATGCCGCGGTGTTTGTAATTGTCGTTGTTCTCGGCACTTACGATTCGGAGGGAGCGCGCCGATTTGGTCGGAGATACGCGCGATGACACGACGGTTGAAATTTGCCGAGGCAATTCTGAAATGCGCGCAAGTTTTCTTTCACCGTGTGTTGATAAAACATGCAATTTATGCTTCTTCGGAAGCGGTCATTTCGGAGATGTAGGACAAAAATCGACAAACATTCAACTAAGGTCATCATCTTACTGCCTTATCCTTTATACAGAGGATACAAAGCGGAAAGTGGAAACCAACGTATCGAACAGCGAACACGTTGAAACACCCGCCGAAGCGACACTGATCGACCCGCTCGTGACGTTTTATTAACTCTATTCGAGCGTGTCGCCGGTAAACCGACAGTCGCCGGAGAATTCATAACGGGTGGCTAACCCGTTCTCCCTTCATCGTACCGACCACTCACCTCATCCCAGAATTACATTACCGCGAAATACGTGGGCAGGTATTCAATCAACAATTCGCAGCCAATATATCGCTTTCCGCGTAAATGAACGGCAATGAGCCCCATCATCGCTCCAGCGGAACGTGCTCGCAGGTGCCGATCGGAAGTTCATTCTTACGTTCGCGGAATGATGGGCGTGACACGGGCGCGACCCAGTTTCGCTTGTCAGGTGCATTCGCACGATCATATTCACACACACACAATCGCTCGCGCGGACAGACCCGGTCTCCTCGCGCGCACGTGCAGCTCGCGGGGCTAAGAATAACGTCGCGGTTTGCGGCATGTCGGCGGCACGTCGACGACGTTCGCATGCAGATTTCCACGTCCGAACTCATTACGCGAGGGAATGATGATGAAGGAGGACCGAGGCAGAGGGAAAGAGAGAGAGGGGAGGGAAGGAGACGTTAATTATACGCGGTAATGACGTCGACGGACGCGCGCATTTCGCGAGACAATGCGCGCGAATGCATCAGCACCATCGGGGACTCCTACGTATAGCGGCGTTGCAACGGCGAAAACAAAGACGGCCGCAAAAAACGCGATTATCGGTGATTTATCGACGTCGGTTCCGAGGAACTCGTCGATCATCCGGACGGGTCGACGGAATCACGAAGGAACGCGCGCGCGAAGTTCTTCTCCTATCTCCCCCCCGTGTACTCCATCATTCTCTCTTTCGTACGAATAAAACGCGAAAGTTATCTGAGCAAACACGTGAATCCCGATCGCTCTAATCTTCGAGTCAACGGTCAGTGATTTTACGCAATGTACGCTCTTTCGACGGAGCAAAGTGGAAACTTTCAATCGTAGATTCGTCTTCCGAAAGGAGATTGATAAATTTCTATCAGAAAGTGGAATTCGAAAAATTGGCTTGAAGATTAAATTCGAAATTCCTCAAAATTAAATTAACGATCGCGGTTAACCCTCGCAAAGAAAGATAAGGGTTCACTTATAACCCCCCTCCTTCCCCAACGAAACGTTTATTTATTATATTATTATATTTTTGGAAAATCTATTCTTGCCTCATCGTTCGATCTAGGTGATATTTCTCATCAGAGCGTCTAAATTCAAACAGCTAACAAATTTAACTGCGGTAACAACGACGATTAGCTGTCTCCGTTTGAAAGGCACAGCAGGCTACCGCGGCTATATTTTAACTCGGACGGCTAATTCTTTATCAGAGTGGCACGAGTGAGGAGACACGAATAATTGGAAACAGCGTTGGCGTTTCCCTCGGTTTCCCTCGGTTTCCCTCGGCGCCGTGAATGCTCGCTTCACTCGCATTCGCCCACGCGATTACGTTTATTCAGCGTGGTGAAGTAACACGTGACGGGACGATGGACGTTATGCCGACCCTGACAATTACGAGCGAAGTTAGTCGCCGATAATAATTGTAATCAAGACGAATACACGTCTCGGGGTATAACAAGCGAGACGCAATTATCGCCGATAGATCGGTGGACATTATTTATGCAAATTGCGGCTACCGCCGCCACGAGTCCCGTCGCCGTTGCTGTTCACCCCGCGGCTGTTCGTCCTCCGTGCGTACCGGACGGGATTTCCACTTTCTCGCATCCGTCGAAACGTTCGAATTCATCGGCGTTAATGCCGACCCGCGCTAATATTGAATCGCCGTTAATCGATACCGCGCGCGCATCGCTGGATTGCCGGTTATCACGCGAGGAAAACAGCTGACGAGATCGGCCGGCTTGGGCTCGCAGGCTTTCGTCGGCCTGCGCTTTGTTCCGCGAACGGAAAGCACACCGGCGAAGAAAACGATCGGGAGACACGCGAGCGTGCCTATTAGAGTCATAATTCGGAGTAAACAAATTTATACGGACGAGAGAACGCCGGGCGAGTCTCGACGCGGGATCTCGCGGAAGAGGGAACATTCAACGGTGAAGACTCACGCGAGAGAGACTACCCAGCGAGGTTGTAAACGTCCGAGTGATTTGCGGTAGAAAATCGCAATTACACTCGCGGTAGAAGGCGGAAGGAAGCAGATTACCACGCCGATACGCGCGCGCGCGCGTGAGTCGAATTGTAAATTGAAAGCTCCTTGTATTGTACGATTTCCGGTCCTCTCAACTTGTTCCAGCGGAGAAGTGAGAATTATTATTATTATTATTATTATTATACTTTATCTTCCCCTTTTTGCATTAATCTGATTTATCGTCGGTCACCATCTCGATTCTGACGGACAATCGAAATAAGTCCACACGCGGTACAGTGATGTATAATTCATCGTGTGTTAATGTGTAATTCACATAAAGTCGAATTTTTGGTTCTACATTACGTCTGTTAATACCGTTAATATCGAACTTGAAACACCAATAAACAATCTCAATATTTCACTCTTATCCATTTATCTATTAATATCTATTAGATTATTTAATATTCGCTTATCACCATAAGATTCGTAATAAAATTAATTATATAATTAATGAACTATTTGAAATTAATAATTAATCTAACATTATTTATATTGAAATTAAAAATTAAGGGGAGATTCAGTGCAAGTAAATTATTGAGATAATAATCATTGTCAAATACTGAATAATTTTTAAATAAATACTTCTTTAAGTAGCTTTCGACACCAAAAACCGCGGTTTTTAACATCAAAAGACAATACCTGTGTTATATCTCGAGATTCTCTGTTGCTCCTTCAAGTTCGATGGAATTTGCAGAGTTAATGCAGAATCAAAATTTCGACTCGGGTCTGTTGAACAAAGTCAAGCTG